TCAAGCAATTCTTGGTGAACTCAACTTTTCTCCTATCTCTCTCTTTCTTGCTCATGGTTTTTGGTCTCAAATGAGATGAGGAAATGATACAAAGTACAACCATTAAGTCCAAACAAAATGTGTAGGGGTAAGTGGCCCATTAAGTGGCAAACTTGTAATATTTCAAGATGATGAAAATTAACATTATTTAATCTAATTTAATCATACCAAATCACATTCCAATTAAATCTACTATAAAATCACATAAATTCTAATTAGCATAAAACACTAATCAATTTCTGATTCGGCCGCCGATAAGGCCTTCAATTTGCAGTTCAAAACTTAAAACATGAACAGATCAATCAATCGATAAACATATAGAAATGCAATCAAACAACATACTCATGCAATCAGTTTAGGATTTCATCCTAATCAGTCACTTATCATGTTCAGTCACAGTTTAACAGTAATCAGAGGTAAGGGTTGTCCAAGTCTCCCCTCTTTACAAAGAGTTTGGTCCTCCAAACTCGAATTACCTTCATTTTGGAAGAACACTGGATCCAGAGGAAACAGTTCAGGATATTGTTTTATTATATCGTCTTCCTTTTCCCAAGTAGCATATACGCCACCATGATTTTGCCAATCAACTTTCACTAACGGAATCTCTTTATTTCTCAATTTCTTGATTCGTCGGTTTACAATCTGAATAGGCCATTTTTCATAAGTGTAGTCATCACTTAGCACTACATAGGTAGGCTCAATCACATGGAAGGGATCCCGAAGATAATCCCTCAACACTGAAATATGGAAGACATTGTGCATATGCTCCATTTCAAGAGGAAACGCTACTTAATACGTCACCGAATTAATCTTCTCAATGATTTCATACGGTCCGACATATCTCGACGCTAGCTTACCCTTGACTCCAAAACGAGTCTGTCCTTTCATTGGTGTCACTTTAACAAAAACATGATCATCTACTTCGTATTCCCTGTCTCGCCTTCAGACATCCGCATAACTTTTCTGTCGGCTTTGTACGGTTTTCAATCTCTGTTGAATCAGTTTCACTTTTTCAGTAGTCTCATGTACAATTTCGGGCCCAAGCAAAGGCCCATCTCCAATTTCTGCCCAGCAAATAGGAGATCGACATTTTCTGCCATACAAAGCCCCGAAAGGTGCCATACCAATGCTCGAGTGAAAACTGTTGTTGTAAGCAAACTCAGCCAAAGGTAAATAGCTTTCCCAATTTCCTTGAAAATCAAGAACACACATCCGCAGTAAATCTTCCAGAGTCTGAAACCGTGGACAGTGTAGGCACAACCTACACTGTCACATTGACAAGTTGTGCCATCGCTTGGTAAATGACGATTTTGCCCCTTTACATCAATTTTGAAAAAATGTGATCTTAGGGACAAATTTGTCATTTTAACTTCAAATATCATTTCAACACATTTTTCAATATAACAACTCAAATAAAAATCCATCCAATCTTTCCAAACACAAAAACTAAAATAGCCTATTAAAATAATCAAAAAGTCAAAAAAATCTATAAAATAACCACTTCCCAAACACCCACTATATAGTTAGTTCTTTATCTCCATTTCCTATTACTAAGGTCCATAACCTACCATTAGATTGTAGATTAGATTAGCAGGAATAAGTAATGAAATTATATATTAGAGGATTAAGTAATAGCACTATATGTTTGGTTAGGGCAGAATAAAAAATTAAATAATTGAATGAAGAGTATGAATAATTTAGAAGAAGGTTAACTAATCACACGTAGGGGTGGGATTATTTATCTCCTCTTTAATTCGGCGTCCAAATTAATGGCACCATTTAGTAGAATTGTAGGAAAGTGATTATAGATTATAATTTATAGCTGTGAATATAAGCTGTTAATCTGTTTAGTACAGCTGTGAGCTTATGGATTTAAGTAGCAGAGCAGTGTTTGGTTGATAAGCTGTAAAATAACTTTTTGCTGTGTAATTGTCCTTTTTGCCCTTATATGATATAAAAATGATTCTTTTGTCATTTTTTTTTAGTTTTAATTTTTAAAAAAATTATTTTATTAATAAAAGTTAATATAATTAGTATTACAAATTAATTAGTATAGATTATGTCATTTTCATTATTATTATTATTTCCATTTTTTCATTATAAAGTAATTAGTATAAAATTATTTCATTTTTTCATTATAAATTAATTAGTGTCAATTAATGGCTTATTTTCATTTTTTCATTATAAATTATTATTTTCATTTTTCAATTAGTATAAAATTATTTCATTATAAATTAATTAGTGTCAATTAATGGCTTATTTTCATTTTTTCATTATAAATTAATTAGTATAAAATTATATTATTTTTTCACTTTTTGTTAATTTTGTTTAATTTATTAATTCATTACAATTAATATCCATGTATTTATATTAATGTTGTGATGGCATTACATATTATTTTTCTTTATATTAATTTCAATTATTAATTTAATAGAAGTTATAATATTCATTTTTTATTTCATTTAATATAAATTATTTCATTTTTTTTCTTCAATTTTAATTTTTTTAAAAAATTATGATTATGTTTTTATTAAATTTTCTTCATTACAATTAATAATTATTATTAATTTCAATTTCAATTTTTATTAATTTCAATTTTTTTTTAATTTCATTTTTTAAATTTTTTAAAAAAAATTTCCATTACAAACCCTAGCTACCACCGCCGGTGGCTAGGGTTTCACATCGCAGATTGCAATGGCGATGGCGGCAGTCAGATTGCGAAGAGAAAAAGAGGAGGCGACGACGATGGTGTCCTAGCCACTTCCTTTAGTTCGTGAGAGTGTGAGAGAGAGAGAGAGAGAGAGAGAGAGCTCTGCTTTGAGATCGTGACACGACGGTGAGCTTTGGTTACAGATTGCGACGGTGTGGATCGATCGTGACGGTGAGCTCTGGTTTGAGATCGTCACGTCGTCGATGGCAGTGGTTAGAGTTAGGATTAGGGTTAGGGTTGTCGATGTCGGAAATCGCTTGCGCACACCTGAAATTGCCTTCGTCTCTCTTTGGTTCGTGAACAATAGTGTTGAGATGTGGTTTATATATAGTGGCATGTTTGTAAATAATGGAGATTAGGAGGGGCATTTAAGTCATTTTACCACCCACTGTGCAGCTGCGCGCTTAAGCTAAAAATATAAGCATCTCCTGACTCACTTTTCAAATAAGTTGAAAATTAACTTTTTTTAAGCTATAAGTTAGTGAAATAAGCTGAGCCAAACACAAATTTTTAGTTTAAATTAAGTTAAAAGCTGAAATAAGCTGCTTATAAGTTCTACCAAACACCCCAAATGTAGGATAAGAATTCTGGCAATAGCTTATTTTTCTTTTATTCATATTTTTTTGTTTGGAAATATCTAATTTTATTGAAAAATTAATCTTCATTTTATTGTTTTCCTAAATTAGCAAGATTAGGTTAGTTGGTTGTTTCTTAATTTTAAATTTAGAATGTTTGGTTTTTGAGGCTAAATTTATTTTATGTAAATACTTATTTAAGCATTATGGCAACGGTATCGTATTATCATGTAGATAATAGAAACATTTGGAGCCTACTTGTACTTTTTTTTTTTTTTTTTTAATTTTTACTCACACATCATCATCATATAATTTTCAATGTTTAGGGATGAAAATATTTTTAGAAATTTAAAGATAATATTTTAATAATTATTTTTGTCAAACTAATTTATATATTTTTAAGGAAAAAAAAAAGAAAAAGAAAATGAATTGTTTTGTTGGATGAAAAGCTGAGATTACAGGTAGGTTTGGTGAGAGTGGCAATGAATTTCAAGTCTCAAGAAACGAGCTTTATAATGAATAAAAACTTTGTTTATTTCATTTTGTTTACTCTAATTGACAGGTCAGGAAAATAAAAAATGTAGTAAAAAGGAGGTTGGATGTTGTTGTCATACATATTTCTCACCTACATATATGTTAATTGATTTTCAGATCAACTAACACCGACTGTAGTGGCAAAAGAAGTTGATAGTTGCCAAACATGTTTCATTTGGTAAAAGAGAAAATTTACAAACACAGAAATTGACAGAATCAGACACATTATTTTTATATGGGACAAGTTTAGTCTTTTTTATACTCATATGAAAAAATTGTATCAATTTCTATGCTATTGTTAAAAAATTTACAATTTCAACTTATTTATTTTAAAAAGAAAGAAAAGTAAAATCATTCAAAAAAGTAATTATTTCAAGATTTGAGATTTTTTTAAGCTAACAGGGGAGATTCTGAATACAACCATCAAATTTCCCTCTGTAACTACATTACAATACATGTAAAGGGTGTGAAGAGAAATTAATATAAAGCTAGCAAAAAAGGGCCATATTATTTTACTTCAATTTTTTGTTTTTGAATTTTTAGTGTTTGTACATGCATATATCCTTTTGTTAAAGAAGTTATTGCTCAAATTTGAATGTGATTAGTTTATATTGTAAATTTATTACTTTCATATTACTATTTTGCCCAACATGTAAGGAAGAGTAGCAATTATTGGAACAATAGCAATTTATGAATAATACTATACAAATAAATTTTTTATACAGAATAATATAATAATTTGTTATCCTCTACTCTGAAGATAAAACACTAACCATTGTGACTCATAATTTAAAAAATACACTACCACATCATTTTTGTATAAAAGTTTTATTTATAAATTATGGGTTCCCCCCTTTTCTTTTATGACCTTGGGAGTATCACAATGCACGTAATCAAATGTTAGGTCAACTCACCAAAATTTTTTTTTAAAAAACGTTTAGGCCACTTTGGTCATATTGTAAAGCCTAAACAAACCTATGCATAGACTTCTTCTACCTTTGTAGCACAACAAAAGTAGTTGTAGTTGGTCTGAATCACCAACAAGAGTTGGTTCATCAAACTTCCTCTACCACCAATCATTCACTCTCTCTCTCTCTAAAAACATTCCATTTCGCAAACTTCACCAGTTTGACACTTCACATGACTTCACAGCCCCCTTATATTCTACCTTTAACACCAAATTTTAAAAACCAACCACATATATATGGCGTTCATATTTCTCTAAGATATAACTTGGATTTGTTGATTGAAGAAAAGCTTGTAAATCTTTTGTAAACATGAAGTTGATGGCGGCGTTGATGATCGTGGCGGTTTTAGGGTTTTCGATTGGTGGGTGCCATTGCAAGGTGGTGCAATTCATCTTTGGAGATTCTCTTTCCGATGTGGGCAACAACAAGTACTTGTCGAAGACCCTAGCCAACGCGAACTTGCCATGGTACGGTATTGATTTTGGTAATGGACTGCCTAATGGAAGGTTTACAAATGGTCGAACAGTTGCCGATATAATAGGTAACATAAATTTATGCATTGCTATATCAACTATATATAGGCATGGAATTTTCTCTACTCAAAATATTTACAATATTTCTACTCATACCATACCATCAAGTATAGGCACGGGTTCATTTGGGGCAGTTATGGGTCGACTTTGGATCTATTTTTGTTAATTTGGACTTTTCAATTTATAGGGCATGTGAGAGTTCACTCACGTAAAAATTAAATTGATTTGGTATTAATAACTAGATAATAGAATATATTAAATTGATTTGGTATTAATAACTAAATAATAGAATATTATTTTAATCTTGAAATTATAGTTTCCGTCCATTATTTAAGACATGATTGACATTAATATTCAATTAAATTATTTATTTATTTATTTTTACATGACTAATATATTAGTCCTATAAATTTAATGATTCATATCACTAAAATAAGATGAGAGTGATGAGAGTGGATCCTCAACTAGACCTCGAGAACCTGCTGCCTCCTTATAACAATATTATGCACTTAGGATTTTTTTTTTAAAAAAAAAAATACTAAAATTAGTTAGAAATTGAAATATGTGAATGAAATTCATTTTGAGCATGACTTGCTCCCATAACAAATTTAAATTCTTAATTTATTGTTTCTGCTTCATTCAAAATAAAGAGAAAACAAAAATTAAGATGTGAATTATATATTTCAGGGGATAAAATGGGTCTTCCAAGGCCACCAGCTTTCATGGATCCATCTCTGACAGAAGATGTTATTCTTGCAAATGGAGTGAACTATGCCTCTGGAGGTGCAGGGATATTGAATGAAACGGGTGGTTTATTTGTAAGTATTTTAAATCAAGAATATATATATCTATACTATTATAAAGTGAACACATAATATGGTGTCCTGAAACTTGCTTTACTCTCCTCATGTCATGTGGCAGTATTTTTTTTTATTTTTCTAAAAAAAGTTAAAAAAAGAGATGGGCAAGGCTTAAACCCATGACCATGGGTTTAAGGATGAGGACTCATACCACTTAAACTAACTACACATTATAATATTAATTTCATTATTATTTTCTTTTATTCCTATTTATTTAATTTGCACACACATCGTGTGTGCCACCCACTAGTTTTATAAATACAAACACCTTCATTAAAAAATTTATTAAAATTATATAGCATATAAATATATAACTTGTCATTGTGTCGTACAACTTTCCATATTTCCCTCCTACCATGGTCATAAAAATAAAAAATAAATATTTGAGTTGGCATACTTTGAAATGCGTGTAATTGACGGTTACAAAAACCTTTTAGTTGCTGGTCTGCTGTGTTTTACTGTTTGAGATTTTTGTTTTTTTTAGTGATTTTTTTTTCTATTTTAGTCAATTTGTTCTACTTTTTAGATCCATCTTGAGTAGGTGCATCTAAAAAGTACAAAAAATTGATTAAAATATAAAAAAATAAAATAAAATATACTAAAAATAAACAAGAACTCATCTAAAATGAGTTTTTGAAAAATCAAACCAAACAAACATTCGATGTTTTATTCTTTCACAGTCCACGGAAACTAAAACTTGGTATCAGAGCGTACCTATAGCGTTGATCGAATAGTTCATGTATGTAAAAAAATTAAATTGATTAGATAATAATAACTATATGATTGAATTAAATTTATTTAAAAAAAAAATCTATTCTCAAAATCATATATTTTCTTTAAAACAAATGTGACACGGTTATAAGGTTACCGATATCTAATTAACCTAATTTTTTATATTTGGCAAATTTTAAAAATTAAATAGTTCAGATCATGAAAAGATCCTCAGTGAGCTCATCATGGGGCTCAACATTGACTCTTATTAGGAAAGGAGACATTGACACTTGACTAAAAGTGTAAGATTGACTATCACAATTAAAAAGAGATTAAGCAAAGTAAAATTTAGCGTAAAATGTAAATGTGCAAATTATAATTTCCACAACCAAACACCCTCCCCCCCCCTCTCGGTGCTCAAGACTAATGTGTGGTGATATATTATTTTGTTGTAGATTCAAAGGTTTTCTCTCTACAAACAAATAGAGTTGTTTCAAGGAACACAAGATCTAATAGTATCCAAAATTGGGCAAGCAGCATCAGATAAGTTCTTTCAAGACGGAAGATATGTGGTTGCTTTGGGAAGCAATGATTTCATAAACAATTACTTGATGCCAGTTTACAGTGATTCATGGACCTACAATGACCAGACCTTCATGACCTACTTAATGGACACTCTCGGAGCTCAACTTAGAGTAATCTCAAAACCAAATTTGTTTTAGTTTGTTCCTTTTTATTATTCAATATCAATACCAACAATAATTTTTATTTTTATTTTTTAATTTAGAAATGTTCACAAACACAACATTCACTTTAGGACGGTTCGGTTTCCTGTCCATTTCAACACGTTTTTAAAAATTCCAGATTTACAGTATGGAAAATGAGTGGGAGCACTAATTAGTGCTACCACTAATGATGTAGCAGTAGGCTCCACCATGAATGATTTGATATTTTGGCCTTGGTGTTGTATTTTTTTTTCTTTTTTTATTGAGTGCCATGTCATTAGTGGTCTTTTTAGAGCTCCAAAATTAGTGGTCTCTATCATTGTTGATTTTATTTACAAATAGGGCACCTATTATATTATTGAAGTGGGTCTTGTTTGAATTTTTAAAATTTTATTACTGCATGAAAAGTTTGTAACATTTATTAATTTGTATAATATGTTAGTTTTTACATTTATTTAGTTTTTTTTTTGTGTCAATAAAGTAAATTTTAAAAAGGAAAATACACTTACTGAACTTGAACTAAGGATGTAATAGATAAATACTAAATGTTTGTGTAAGCTAAGCTACAAATTTATTAATATTTATTTTTAATATAATCTATGGGTTTGTTGACCATGCTTGAAATTTTAACATCATTTTAGAGTCGGGCTTGGAATTTGATTTGTAGGCCCAATGTCAGATTTGGCATGAGAGATTCTTATAATTTTAGCCCAGACCCAAGCTACCCTTAACTCACCTTACATGGGGCACCAATGCACTTTTCCGTATTTGCAGTATTATTGTTATTGAGACTGTTTGCTATTTTTATTTATTTATTTATTTTTCTTTCTCTATTAATTATATATATAGAAACTAAGAGATTATTTTTTTGTTTTTTGTTTTTTGTTTTTTCAGCTATTGCATAGTTTAGGGGCAAGGCAGCTGATAGTGTTTGGGCTAGGACCAATGGGGTGCATTCCTCTTCAAAGGGTGCTAAGTACAACAGGGGCTTGCCAAGACAAGACTAACAAATTGGCTCTAAGCTTCAATCAAGCCACTAGCAATCTTGTGAATCAATTGTCAAGCAAACTTCCTAATGCAAGCTATAGATTTGGAGATGCCTATGATGTTGTCAATAATGTTATCACCAATCCACACAAATATGGTATGCTAAAAAATATAAAATTGCTTCCTCTCTTTATATTGTGTGAACTATTATTTATGATGATTATATACTGTTCGATTGGTTTGATAAATTTAGGAATTAAAACTATATCGAGAAAATATAAAGACGGTTCAAAACTGCTTGTTACAATGGAGATTACTAGAGGAATAAATGGAGCAAGAATTCATGAAGAAGATATTAGATTTTAACACCATTAAAAGGGGAAAAACTCAACTTTGGAAATATTACATAAAGTTTTCAATTGTTTATGATGGAGTAAAAATTTTCATTTTTTGGAATTTGCAGGATTCAACAACTCCGACTCGCCATGTTGCTCATTTGGAAAGATTAGGCCAGCTCTAACATGTGTTCCTGTATCAGTATTGTGCAAAGATAGAAGCAAGTATGTGTTTTGGGATGAATACCACCCATCAGATAGCGCTAACGAGTTAATCGCAAACGTGATGATCAGAAAACTCTTTTCAAATAATGGAAATAATGGTCCTTCCCCTGCACCTGCCATTGCTCCATCCCCAGCTGCATAATTTCATTTTTTGTTTTTTGGTTTTTTAAAAAATATGATTCTCCATATTTCTCTACAGAAGCTATTTAATTTTTCTTTGTAATCTTTGATGAGTTTAGTTATATGAAATAAGTGTCCATATGGTTTGATTACAAACTTAATTATGGTTTTCATATTGTTTAATTGTATTGAACAATTAAATTTGATTATATTTAACACTTGAATTTATAATTTTTTTCAGATTAAAAAATTCAACATTCAAATTATAATGCTGTTTATAGCTCACTACTTAATGGGTATGGGTTGTTAGTAGTCTACATAATGGGTTTTTGTTAGTTAATTTAACCATAAAGAAGTGATTTTGTTGTATTATAATGCCAAATTTGATGAAGTGTTCATTACGAAGAAATCTGGTTAAATTTCAATATATTTTTTCATCTTCTAATTGCAACAATTAAATTATTATATTTTAATTTGTATTTCAACCGTCACTCAATGTCAAAGTTTTGAAAAGAAAGTGCTAATGTGATCTTGTTTTAGGGGGTATTTGAGATTTTTTTAATGGCAAATTAAATTCTAATTCAGTCCCTCATCATGTTTAAATTTTTACTCAAACTTTAAAAGATGGGATGATGGGAGAATCAAATTGAAACACAAGTTAAAATTTAAGAATTTAATTGTTACAATTAAAAAGTAAAGAGCCAAAATAAAATTCATGTGAAAGTTGAAGGATGTACAGGGTAATTTAATCTTAGAAATTTGTACTTCCCCACTATACCATGCTGGCAATTTAAGAGGAGTTTGGAACCCACGTAAAAGGATTCAATATTATTGAGCAGTTTATTTACGTCTATATAATTTAATCATAGAATTAGACACAATCTTCTCATATAAGATAAAACTTTCACGTTTAATATGTCCAATTTCATGCAAGAAGATCGAGTTTGATTATGTGATTGAATTTTATATTATTTAAAATTTTCATTATTGACCGACCCCATTGACTTGTGAACTCAAAAGAAGTCCACAAAACGACATCTGCCCCGTTCACCTGAAATTAGCTTTAACAGTTAGCTTTTAAACAAACATAGCTTTAAAAAAAAAAAAAAAGTTTGATTTTATAAATGATGTGTAAAGTGCAAATGTACTTTCAGTTAGTATAAATATGCACATTAAACTTTTATCAAACATAATATATATATATATATATATACATATATTTTAACATTCTGAGTAGGTTGATTCCAAAAACAATAATGCTAGAATATATAAATAAACGGAGGGCCGGATACAGAAAATATATAAACATACAATATTTTATAACATTTTTTTGTGAGACCCAATTCTTAAAACTCTTATACATTTATTTAATTTTTATATGTTTAATTCCATATTTGATTTCTTAATTCCTATTTGTTAAAAAAAAAAATCTTAATTCCTAAACTTATTGCTTCAAAAGAGGAACCAAGGCAAATACAAACCTGAATTTTCTGACACATACACTCATCACCAGAAACAATTATTGCATTTGGAATTATGATAGAGCCCTGTTTGCCAGATTGATAACTGTATCTACAACACAATCATGCTTTATTTGGTTGAGCAATGAGGGAACAAAGTCGTACGCAAGAATAAGAGGAGTTAATTACACTTAACCCTTTAAATTTTCACTAAAAATATTACTTTTAACTTCTTTGATTTAATTATAACAATCAATCTCTTATATTTTGAGTCAAATTATAATCTTATCATCCTTTCATTTATCTATCTGATGTTAATAAAGTTGACCAAACTTGTTATGTGAGTCATACAAGATAATTTTTGTTAGTCTCATTAACAATAGATGAATTAAAAGATGGCTTTAAAACTTGATTTAAAATATAAAAGTGTGAATATGGCTCGACTTGTTACCACTAACTAGAATTATTACCACTAATTGTGTAAATAAAGTTTCAATGTAAAAATATTGACTTATATTGACATGTAATCCACACCTATTTACGATTCTATATTATTGATCAGATTTTTTATGTACAAGGAATTTGATAAAAAAATTTGATACAATTCTCTCACATGAGGTATGATTCTTAAATTTAATAAATTCAATCTCATGTAATGAAATTTTATGTACTTAAATTTTTTCATTATTGACCCTATTGAATTATGAATTCAAAAGAAGTCCACAAAACGACACGAGCCCTGTTTGAAATCAGCTTTAAGAGTTGGCTTCTTTAAAAACAATAGCTTACTAAAGGTTTGCTTTATGAATGATGTATAAAGTGCAAATGTACTTTCAATAAGTATACATGCATACTCATACCTTTTTTTTTTTTCAAACATAAATATTTGTTTTTTGAGCATTCCAATAGGTTGCTCCCACTCCAAATATTTGGAGTATTACATTCTATTTAGCCTCCGTTTGGAAAGTGGGTTGGCTTTTTGGCTTTGTGACTTTTTTGGCTATTTTAGCCTGGGCTAAAAAGCTTGGTTTGGGAAGGGCTTTTTGGCTTTTTTGACTTTTTTTGTGAGAGAAGAATGTAATGATTATAGGTTGGATGTGATGTTTTGTTTGTTATGGCTAAAATAGCCTATTTTGTTTTTTGTGGCTAAAATAGCCAAAAAAGCCTGAAAAAGCCCTTGCCAAACACAGGCTTATTATTTCTCATGTTATCATTATGCTTATTATTAATACAGTATTAACATATCACATAATAAATAAAATGATTATCTCTTAACATTATTATACTTTCAAACTTCACAACTATGCAAAAGACTCCTTCAAAAGCAATAATGCTAAAATACAAAAACTAAACATAAAATTACATTATTTATTTCTGAGACCACTTCTACATTTGATTTCTTTGTTCTTAAACCTATTGCTTCAAAAGAGGAAGCAAAGCAATACAACCTGAATTTCTAACACCTGGACTCATCAATATAAACAATTATTGCATATGGAGTTATGATAGAGCCCTGTTTGTCAGATTGATAACTATATCTACAACAGAATCATGCTTTAGTTGGTTGATCAATGAGGGAACAAAGTGGTCACTAGAATAAGAGGGGTTAATTACACTTAATATTCTTATATTTTTATCAAAATTTTACTTTAGCCACTCCTGTTGGGTATACCTCCTTATTGGAGTGTGGGACCCAATTGGTTTGTTAAAGAGTTTCAATTTGACTTGATTTAGGTATAATATATTTTTATATATTATATTTGAGGAGACCCAATCCAATTTGATAACAATTAGGACTTGTTTTTAAAACCCAAGATTCAATATATAGAGATACATATATTGTTTGTTTTAAAAGGAGGCAGGACGGCTGCCATTCTTGATATTTTTGCCAAAAAGGTAGCATCCAGCAGCATGATCATGGTTCTAAGCATGGTTCTGTGGTTGTGACTCGGTGGTGACGTGGGTTCGGCAGTTTTTGGTGAAGTTGATTTGGATTGTTATTTTGGGTCTTCTTCAACTCTGGTTCAGAAGATTTTAGTTCATCTATTTGGTGAGGTCTTTCTTCTTTGTTTATTTGTGATTATTTGGAATTCACCTAAGGGTGTTTTGTGAGACCATTAGTGTCTCGTTTGTAATCGTTTGGAATTATTTGGTTGATAGTGGAATTGGATTTCGATCCCGTGGACGTACCTCACATTGAGGGAACCACGTAAAAATTCTTGTGTTGCCTTTGATTTAATTTTTCCGCATTAATTTTTATTCCCATTGATTGATTTACTTGTGGGGAATCACATCGATTTTCCCTAACAACTCCAATAATGACAATCAATTTCTTATACTTTGAATCAAATTGCAATGTCATCACCATTCCATCCATCTAATGTTGATAAAGTTAACGAAACTTGTCATGCGATTATTGTACATAATATTTTTCTTACCTCATTAATATCCCTACACTTTTACTAAAATCTCATTTTAATCTTTGTATTTTATCAAAAAATTCAATTTGGTCCATGTACTTTTAGTTTTCGTCAACCTCGTTAATGGAGATTGACATGCAATCCACATCTCTTTAAGATGAAACCATCCATTCTCTTTTTTTAAGATAAATGACAATATTACATATTTAAAAAAATTAAATTTAATAAATGTTATTCACATCTCGCTAACTTTAAATCTATATTATATATACAATTCTTTTTAAAAATAAAAATTAATAATACTAGCATTTTTATATTGCAAACGATATACATGACTGAAACATATGGAGGCATAATAGGTGAAGAGACAATGATAGAGATAATAAAGGTAACAAGACTTAATCTCTTCTTCAAATAGAAAGTTCTTATATCTAAGTTAAATAATCAATTGTTTCTAAAATTAAAATTATTAAGAAATAAATTCACCAAAAATGTAATTCAAACATAAGTTTAGAGAGTTTTCTTCTTCCAATGGCAATAGGGGTGTCCAAAACGACAAATGTCATTATGAGCAAAGTCCCTTAAAGCCAGAGGACAATTATTAGGTCTCATACATTGGGACCATGAGTTTGCTTATAAATGCCATAAGAAGCCTTTTGTAAAATAGTAGTGCTATATATATTAATTAATGTATTAGTTAGTATATTAATATTAATTATGATATTATTATTAATCTTACTTATTATGTAAATTATAAATATTAATTTTTTTTTAAATTATATCATATTATCAATTAATATTTTAATTAATATATTAATTGATGTATATAACATTATCCTTTTGCAAAATTCACAAAGGAGACATCCGAGAAATTAAGGCCCAATGGCATGGAAAGATAGTGGTAAGAAAGTGGTTGCCTACCACACAATCCACTTTCCTCCACTTCGACATATAAAAAAGTAGCCATAATAAGTTGCTGCAGATATTTTATAAGGAACTTGATGTGGTTTACCTAACAATATGTTTACTTTTTATGTAATTTATACTATTATATAAAAGAGGAATGGTATGGATTTATAATTTAAAATCCATAATCTACGCACAATAATATAGTAAGGAAATTAGAGATTTTACATTATTGAGTTTGTGACAAATAAAAAAAATTAACACTTTACTGTAATGTCAGATAAAATTAGGAGAGATTTTTTTAAGAGTTTCAATCTTTTTCTTATATAAAAAAAGTACACATTTCAGAAGGTTTTGAAACTTTGTAATTTCTTTTAAAAAAAATTATTCATATTGTTATTTGCCTTACAAAATAACTACTAGCAGCTAA